ATCATGGCAGCTTCACGTGCGAATTTATCGGCACGCTCATTGCCCCTGTGTATGTCCGTTACTACCCTCTGGTGTCCACGGCAATGTATGACTGCCACCTTGCTCGGGGCCCACACACTGTCTAGGAGACGTAATATCTGTGGACCATATTTAATATCTTTACCCCCTGCCGTAATAAGTCCCCTTTCCTTATACAGAGCTCCGTGAACTTGGACGGTAAGAAAGGCATACTTTGAGTCTGTATATATGTTAACAGCCAAACCATCAGCTAGTTCAAGGGCTCGTGTGAGCGCATGCAATTCAGCTAGTTGGGCACTGGTGCCCGGGGGCAGTGGTGCAGCTTCCCATACCTCATCTAGAGTGACCACAGCATACCCTGCTTTCCTAATCCCCTCGTGTAAGTAACTAGTCCCATCTGTGAATAAGGTGTAGTCAGGAGCAGAGAGGGGCACATCCTTCATGTCAGGGCGACTAGCATACGTTTCCTCAATTGTGTGGATGCAGTCATGAACTAATTCTGTGTCAGGCTCGGGCAAGAGTGTGGCAGGGTTCAAGGAGGTGGATTGGGTAATGGTTACCATGGGGTTGTGAGTGAGGAGTGCTTGGTACTTGAGCATTCGGGGGTTGGTCAACCACAAGTGTCCCTTCATTTCCAAAACCGATCTAAGGGCATGGGGGGTTCGAATATCCAATTGCTGACGAAAGGTCAATTTACTGGCCTCTTGGGTCAGGAGGGCTGTCCCAGCCACAGCCTTAAGACAAGTGGGCCACCCCTTGGCAACATTGTCAAGTTGTTTAGACAGGTATGCCACAGGGCGGTGCCAAGTGCCAATGACCTGGGTGAGGACGCCCACTGCAACATTCCGTTTAGTGTCCACAAATAGCTGGAATGGCTTTTCCAAATCTGGGAGGCCTAAACTAGGAGCTTGCAATAGAGCCTGTTTGAGTAAGAGGAAGCTGGCTTCCTCCTCACCGGCCCACTGGAGTGGGTCTTTATCGGCCCCTTTTGTGGCCTCATAGAGAGGTTGTGCAATGAGGCTAAAGTTGGGAATCCATATACGACAGAACCCTGCCGCTCCCAGAAATCCCCTCAAGTCTTTTCTGCTAGTTGGCCTAGGAAGTTGACAGATAGCCTCCTTGCGCGCATGGCCTAGTGTCCTCTTCCCTTGTTCAATGTCATAACCCAAATACCTGACCTTCTGTAAAACTAATTGTGCTTTGTTCCTAGAGGCTTTATATCCTAAACTCTGCAAGAGGGAAAGTAAGTTTCTGGTATTGTCCCAGCAGAGTTCCTCATTGAGTCCTGTCACTAGGAGATCATCTACATATTGCAACACCACGTCAGGGGCTGGGGTGTGCAATGCTTCTAGATCCCTGGCCAGAGCTGCCCCAAAGAGAGTTGGTGAATTTTTAAACCCCTGAGGCAGCCTTGTCCAAGTGTACTGCTGTTTTCGTCCTGTGACGGGATTCTCCCATTCAAAAGCAAACAAGTGTTGGCTATGTTCATGGATGGGTATGGTGAAAAAGGCATCCTTCAAATCTATGACCGAGAACCACTGAGCGGCCTGGGGAATTAGGCCTAGTATCACATATGGATTGGGCACCACCGGATGGATGGTCACCGTGGCCAAATTAACAGGCCTGAGATCCTGCACCGGCCTAAAGCGGCCATCCCCCTTCGGGATGGGCAATATTGGGGTATTCCAAGGAGACTCAGTTGGCACTAGAATATTATGTTCCAAATATATGTCAATAATATCCTGAATAGCCTGCATAATGTGGCGTGGATACGCCCTCTGGCGAATCCTCACGGGGGTTTTCATCGGCACTTCCTCTACCAGAATGGGTGGATGATGAGCTGCAAAGCCGGGGGGGTTATCTTCTGCTCACAAATGAGGAACTTGGAACTGTCTCCACGTTTCCTCTTTCCTGTTGCTGAGATCTCTAGCGACCATAAGCCGCCAGGATTCCTCTAAGGGTACAGACAAATTCAACTTCCCATAACCCAGGTGCATGGAGCCGTCTTCTTTGAAGGATATTTGTGCTCGTAATTTACAAAGTAAGTCTCTTCCTAATAATGGGATAGGGCAATCGGGCATGTAGACAAACTGATGAGTAATAGCTTGGCCCTTTACTGTACACTCAAGGGGTTCTAAGAAGGGGCGTTGGGATGTACTCCCCGTTGCCCCTTGGATATTAATAGTCTGCCGAGAGGCTTGGGCCAAAGGCTGAGTTAGGACGGATCGGGTGGCTCCAGTATCTACCAAAAATGTGACAGGCTTGCCTCCCACTTTCAGGCTGACCATGGGTTCTGGGAGGCTTTCTGAACCCGGTCGGTTTCATTCCCAATCCTCAACCTGAGCCAAGCCCACAAGGGGAAGTCTTCCTAGACCCCTTCTCCCCTCCTGTCTTCCCCTGCCTCTCTCCACTGGCCTCCTATGGCCATCTTCCACCACAAAGGAGAGATTCCGTGGGGGGCCCATTCTGTCTCCAGGCCTGTCCCTATTATTCTTTTCAGGGCACTCCCCTTTCCAATGGCCTTGCCTTTTACAGAAGGCACACTGATTAGGGCCTATTTCCCATCTTCCCCCCCTTTGCAGACTGTTGCCCCTAGTCTGTAGGCCTGGCCCTGCACCTCGTGGGACATAGGCCTTCCCTCTTGTAGGGCCTGCAATGGCTGCCGCGAGTAACTCGGCCTTCCGTTGCATTTTTTGATCTTTCTTTTTATTTTCTTCTTTGTCCCTATTGGCAAATACCTTGCGGGCCACTTCCATCAGCTCGCTCATGGGCTTTCCCAGGGCACCCTCAAGACGTTGCAATTTACGTCGTATGTCCAAGGCACTCTGGGAAATGAATGCCATAGTCATCATACGCGCGTTCTCAGGGGCTGAGGGGTCTATAGGGGTGTACATATGGTATGTCTCTACCAGCCGGGTATAAAATGCTTCTGGGCTCTCGGTGGGTTCCTGCAATACTAAAGCTGGCTTTGACATATTAATGACAGGCTTTCCTGCAAGGCGAATGGCTCGGACTACAAGGGACTGGTAATCCCTCAATCGTGTTTTCCCTTCATCAGTGTAAAGATCCCAGTCTGGGTTATTAGATGGGTATTTCTTATCCATGAGATCAATTAAAGAATGATTCAGTGTAACATCAGGTTTTAATATTTCACTGATTGCATTCCTAATTTTCTCCCTTTCCTCGGGGCTGAACAATGTCCCCATGAGTTGTTGGACATCTAGCCAATTGGGATTATGGGCATCCATTATTGTTTTCACTAAGTCTGCCACTTCCATAGGTTTTTCACTGAATGGGCCGTAATGTAACTTCCAATTTAACAGGTCTGAGGAAGTGAAAGGTACATGCTGGAATAATGAGAGTGTGACTGACTCAGAGGGATTCCTAGGGTTAATGGCCAGTTGATCTACCTGCGCATTTTTAGTACTCTTAACCAAGGTGGGGGGTGATTCAATAGGTCCAGCCACACATCAATGTATGGTGCCTGATCTGGATGTCCTAGAGTAGGGTGGAAGACCAAGCGGTGCACCTGTACTGCAGTGGGGATGTCAAATGTACCTATAGTGGGCCACCCAAACCCAAATGTGGGCCACTCTGTCTCACAAAACTTTCGTAATTTTAATCTACTCCACTTATACCCGTAATCTTGTGATTGGTATGCCTCTTTGAAATGTTTTAACATAACCTCCAAGGGAGTGACAGGAGTGCTTTCCTTACCACCCATAAGCCACCCTATTAACCAGACAAGACAGTTTGAGGGAAAGGGTTGAAGAGGGGTTGAAGTAGGGGGTCTCTCCTTCTCCGGACACACCAAGGAGTCACATCCACACACACCCGACCCAAGGAGCCGGATGCACACGGTCTCCAATGGGAACTGCGGGCACCACTCGCTTTCTACTGACCCACGGTGCTGGACACTCACAGTCACCAATGGGAACTGCAGTAGTCTTTCTTCACAATCAGGTCTGACAATTCCACCCACCTTACCTTTTAAGAGAGGGTGATCAGTCCTCTCCTCCGTCCCTGCTTATAGGGAGGGATTATTTTCCCAGTGCAATACTTGCCTGCAGGCGTCTTCCTTTTTCACAGCTGGCCAGCCCCCAGTCCTGTTCCTCTCACCCTTCAGTAGTGGTTCTTGGAGGTGCTGATCGC